TTTAAGAAATAGAAAAATGGCTCTTTTACATTGTAATGGGCATTTGAATACATTTTTTTTTGGTCTATGCATCTATTTCTGTTCATCTCTTACCACTGGTTTATGTTTACACGCATATAATAAAATGATTTTTCATAAGTTTTGAAAATTAGTTAATTGTCATCTTCGTTGGTATAGTGATGTTTAAAAATGTTTCCAAAATGTGATATTTTTTAGTGAAGATATAATACATTTTATATTAGATTTTCGTTTGAAATTAAAAAAAAATAAACTTCTATTAATTTTAAGACTTTGAAATTATATGTATTAATGCAAAAAGTAGTCCTCTTTTGATGTTTTTATAAATATAATCGAATGTTATTCTCTCACATTTCTGTATATTGAAATATTTTAATATTACATTATCAGTTAAATCATCCTAATTGTGTTCTGTTGCTCTTTAGATTTTCCGGTAATCTCAAACTCAAACAGGAAGCTTTAGCTCGTTATGAAATAAAAGTCCAGCCCAGCAGAAGTGATATCTCAATTAATTTACTTATATCTCGAACACATACACACGTATTAGTTGTAAACTGATGTAATGAATGCATTTCGTAAATTTGCATGTTCAACAAATAGTTTGTTCATGTACGCTCCAGAAATCATAAACAAAAGTTTTAATTGGGATGGAATGGTAACTTCCATGCCATAACTCAGCAGCCGCAGTGCGTTTCATTCTGGCTTAATTTGCATGAGGTGAAATGTCAACATAACGCAGCACAGCATAAAGGATGCTTTTGACAGCTGCTTGAAACAAATTTGGAGTAAAAACCACAATTAAATTTCCGCATATTCCCTTACCTGAGATAATACGAAGATCTAAATGTGGTTCCAAAAATGTTTAAATTTTCAAAAAGCCATTACTACTACCGGTTATATTAAAACTGCAGAATTTCTCGTACTTTGGTTTTGCACATGTGGGTAGAAGGTATTTCTATTATGTTTTCAACGACTTGTGTAAATACACATACTTAATAATAGCGTAATTAAACCAAAAACAATGTAAATATTACGAAAATGCAATATTTTCTAACATTTGCCTTGTAGTGGGCTCGCTTTGTGCTATGTTTTCAGACATAATTATTAAAACTGTGGCAGAAAAGTGCCATTAATCATACAAAATTAAAAATATACAATCTAAAAATATGAGTTGAAGTAGGAACATTGATATTACATATGCATATGTCAAGGACCTTCAAGAATTATGAAAATGATATTTAATGAAAAAACATTTTGGTGCGTAATTGATCCACGAATAGTTTTTCACGAAACGATTGATCTGAAATTCTACACAAGAATTTTGCCTGACCATACAGTTGTTTCGAGTATTGCCAAATATCCAAAATCAGTGGTCTTGGAAATAATTCTTATATTTAATTATTCGTAAATAATTGTTTGAGACTGCAAGTGTCAGGAATCGAACTCCTTCTCTGCCAAATTTGAAGCTCAGAGTCAGCGCTTCTTAACCAACTAACCCAAAGCCGTATTTGACTTTTATGTTCGCACATTTTTTTGGAAATTTTTTAATTTGCTATATAAGTTGTAATAACAATTTCACTTGCTATGTTTATATTAGAACAAAATCATAAACCAGCTGTAGAATAATTGAATTAATTAATTAATTATATTTTTATTTTTAATTGTTAAATTTCAATACTATTCTCTTGTAGAAGCAGTATTAATTGTATGAATTTATTTGTGTTGTAGTTGAGATGTGTTGTCTTACAAAATATTATATTATAATACTATAATCAAAATTTCCATTTCCAAATATTATTAAACTGATTAAATATAGACATGCTAGGGTTTTTATTTTTATGGCATTTTGAGCATGGTTTCGGAGTATGAATAGTACGTGTCAGTTACAGTCACCTGCCAGCGTTTAAAGTACATTGATACTAAATACCCTGTATGGGGATACTGTATTTGCGAAAATATTTATGAAAGTAAGAGACATTTAGCTTATATTTATATTTAAAGTCTATTAAGATCATATGTTTTTACATTTCGAATATTGTTCCATAAATAATGCAAAATATTTTTCATTGATGATATTATTAAGTCAATTGTTTAATACACTATGAAAAATTTTTTCATTCCCAATACACTGTTATGGGTTGATATCTGGTTCTATTTGGTAAAAAGTGTAAATATGAATTACTCCTCACTTAATTGTCAGTGGAAAAGTCATTCTAGGTTACGCCTCTTTTTTTATAAGTTCATGAGAAAGAAGACGAACTTCTTAAAAATCAAATTCACTCATGAATAGATTTCGTTTGCATAATTTATTTGCATTCCGTAAAAATCTACATCAAATATGCAAAACTCCTTCAATTCATTTTTGGGGGCAGATTTTTAGTATGCCTTCGATACTTGATGGTATATTATAAAAGTTGTATTTTCATATAATAAAAAAGACCATATATAAATAGCAATAGCAAACAAAACCCAATTTACGTGCGATAAAAATAACCATAATTTAAATAAAAATAGCTTATGAAGTAATGGGTCAGAATAGGAGTGAACATAAATAAGTAAAATAGGAGATAAATATGGCTATTAATTAACACAGACAGAGGTAAATACGCTGACATATTTATAGTTTGAATTGAACATTTGAATCACAAACCCAATTTTAACTGAATTATGCCTAAAGGTCTTGTTGAAGTAACATCAAGCATTTTAAAAACAGCTAAATACTAATCGTTTTCATTGAAAGTTTTTGACATTAAATCGTTTTGAGTTCGCATAATAATTTAAAAAAAATTTTATACTTGGTATACCTGCTCCACCTCAACTTATCTACTTTGCATTGTTTGAATATTCCATGATATTAGCGAAAATGTTCAAGTTTTACACAAATGACTGCTGCCAGACCAAGATAATAATGCGCCAACATGGAATATCATCACAACCGCGTTTTGCCGAAGCCACCCACAATTCGGCAAGGAAATCACATACACGGAGAGTGTTGAGTGGCCAATTCTCCTGAAATAATAAAAGAAATGCACTCAACTGCGCATCTGACGTAATATTTAGTCTCGTACTCAATGCTTAACTGCAGCGCTGAGTCCTGTAAATCTAAACTGAAACGACTGTGTTAAATGTGGCGTAAAGTTTTGTTTGCTTTAGCTTATCCCGGGTAATTGGCATTCATAGCAAAATGAAAAAATTCGCATAAACTTGTTGTCGAAATGTGAATAATGTGACTTGACGACAGACGATAAACGCTAAATGCATCTAAATGCATTTGCTCTTAATGACTATAGAATAACATAATATATTAATAGTCGCGACTGCATATTTTATTAGCGCTAATAGTTAGCACAAGTAGTAGGATTCAAAATTTATTCGAAATGATTAGATCGAATCGAGTCCTTAGTTTACTGATTTTTCATTACATCCAAAATCACAGGCATTTTGGTCACGGCAATTGTTTTGTGAAAGTAAAGATTTGTACTATTTAAAGTGTATTTCATTGCACTATTACTGAATAATTTGTATTTTAAATATTTTACTTGCTGGCCATTGGCGAAGAATTTCAGTTGATATTAATTACAATTAAGTTATCTGAAATATGTTACATATTTACTTTAGATTTCAGGAGTGCAAATGTTGCAAGAAATATGTGTATATAATATATCTATAAAGCTAAGAAGTAATAATATCCACCTCAAATATTCTGCACATCTTTATCAGTCTATTGTAAGTACTTCAATTTATTCATTTAAAAAGAAGAATAAAAAAGCTGAAAGATACTAAGATACTTTTGCTTAGCAAGCAATTAAAAGGGCGAATCAGTTATCTTCAATTTTTTTTCTTGCTTTTACTCACAAAAGGAAAAGTTACAATTTACTTCCTTACCACAGCCAAAACTACAATTGTGGGTTTGAGCAAAGGAGAATATCCGCAGTGAAGAATGATAGATACTATTTAGACACACAGAAATCCAATGATAAAAGATTTTTATTACTGCTAAGGAAAACAGCAATAACAATTATTCTGTTTTATTTCATTCTAGACCTGTTATTTATATAGAGATAATCGAGTAACTTGAACTTAATGAAATAGCCGAGAGCTATAGTAAAACTATAAAAACTATGTACAAAACTATTAAACTATAAACTACAAAAGTTATAGTAATTTTTATACCTATAGCTGATTTAACAAATACTTTTGTTTTGTATTTAATTTTCTACGGATAAGTAAGAATTTCTAATTCAGAAGTGCACTCTCATAAATCAAATGCAATATATATTCCATCAGCAAGATAGGAAGGGCCTTAAAGTGCACTTCTATAAAAACACTTGAATAACTTATTACCAGAACTCAACGGAGCTGTTATTACAGTGGATCATCTATATCAGTAGTTCCCAAGCTATTTTGGACCAAGAACCACTATGATAATTTTGTTTTTAGTAGGACTAAAAACATCTCTGTTAAATTGTACTGTATAACTGTAATAACTGTATAACTGCAGAGGTACACTATATAGGCTATAAAATCAGTATGTAATTCTTTAAAAAATTTTTGTGCTTGTTTTTTAATAAGCGAAGACAAACTAGGTAAACATACATGTTAAATTTGATTCACGGACCATTTTTAAACGATCTCGCGGACCACCGGTTCGGGAACCACTGATCTAAATGGTCACAGACATTATTTAAGAAAAGCGATTTATATACTAACTCGCGGTTGATCAAGCACTGAAGAAGAAGTAAGAGTTTCTATTTTCAATATGTATAAAGCAATGGTCTATCATTTCGAAAAAGTCTGGCTAGAAAGTCCATAATTACCTGGTTCTTAAATAATTATGTATAATTTTTGAATCCATATATTATTTGTGAAATATAAATACTTCATTCATATACTATTTACAATAGAATAAAATTGTTTATTTAAAAACGGATTAAAGCAACATATATTAATCAAATTTATTCAATAATAATATTTTCTTGAAGTATAACATATGTGAAATACTTTTCATGTGCTATCCATATAATATTTCTTTATATATCTTAAGTTTCTATAAATTGTTAAGAGTCGTATTTAAAATGAAAATTGATCTAAAGTCCTTGCTACTAAATTCCATGGAGAGTAAAAAAACTTTATATTTTCGTAAGCGCGTTTATTTTGGTAAAAAATGGTCAGTCTTATAGTGTTAACATATGAACTATTTGCAATACGTAATGTTTTTAATTATTAAAGTTTTTCTATTGAGTACGAACTGAATGGCAGATACATGATTGTGAAGAGCATGAAGTACATTATGAATAAATCGAAGTCACGGTTAACGTCTAAAAATAAGCAGATTTTAATTAGGACTTGCATTGGTTCACTTAATGAAAGCAATATTGAAGTTGTGGCAGCGGAAACTCAAACAATACATGTGGATTTGGTAAGATCTCTGAATTAATCAGTTAAATACTTTATGTTATCAATATTTACAGGTTTCTAATGGCACACAAATTCTTCACGGTGACTTAAAATGCGATAACCACCAGTCGCGATATAGTCAAACGGTTATAGATGTTGAAGCCCATAGCGTCCAAGCTACTCAGTCCATGACTTCAAAAGCTAACCAGACCAGTAAAGTGCATCTTAGTACACAAAGCATGCAAGCAGAGGTAGAAACCTTTAATTCTAAAACACAAACTGAGGATATGGAACACATCGACTACTTGAAAACTGAGAAAACAGAAAATTTAAAAGCAATAACAAAAATTGGAAATCTTGTGCTGAGTAACACCGCATTGCTGACTAAAAGTTCGCAATATCTTGAAAAGATAACAGATTTAATTAACTTGAACAAACGCTTTTCCAAAAAGGAATCACAACTGTAAGTTTCCATCCTTCCATTAGATCCTTTTATGCATATGCTTTTCATTTAGATTGGAGGCATGCAAATTTTGGGAAAGGCGTAATGTTTCCCTCAAAAGCAGAAAACGTAAGAAGAGACGGCCTAAAGTGTATATTGTCAAAGCAGCACCAAAGAAGGACTTCAAGTAAGGATACACAATGTATAAAAATTATTCTTGGCTCTATCAATTAATAGCTATTATTGAATCTTGTTCTTATAAGTTTATATTACATATTATACGTTTCGTATTACTTATAGGCAAAAAGAGACACAAACCGTATTCGAAATTGAATTGTCAAGCAAAGCAACACAAACCATTGATTTCTCAAAGAAGAAAAAAAACTTTTTTTTCTTTTAATACAATGTAGTAGTATGTAGTAAATTATATGTACTAAGAAAGAAAAATTACAGTCTTAGCCGAAACTCTGTCTTATGATTATTAAATGACAATCAATAAAGCAATCATTACTACATTAACCTCCAGTTCAACTTTGACTTTTAAATTACTTACTCATACTAAGGCTTTAAGTCGGAACTGAAGCATAAGCCGCAAATCGAAAGAAACCGATATTTTTGTCTGCAAATACTGCAATTGAACCGAAAATATTATATCAGTTTATTTCGGTTGAGTACCGCACAGTTCACTCCGTGCTTATATACAGTCAAACTTCCATAACTCGAACCCCAATTTTGCAAAGAAAAGGTTCGACTTATGGAGACTTCGAGTTAGAGAATTTTTTTATTTTTTTTTTATTTTTGTAAGAAACTATAATTACATTTTAAGATATTTATTTATTTGCAATCAAGTAAAGCACAGAAGTTATAGTAAAAAAAAATATTCAGAAGATAAGATTTGGAGTTTTAATTTTTTTATTTAATTTCAGTAAAAAGAGGTACCACTTTATTCAAACTCTTATAGTGATTATCAGTTTTAGTATGAGTATCATTCATTTGCAAATAAAAATTCAGAATTTTGAATGAGTCTTCTACTTCATTCTTGGAAGGCTGATGAACAATTACATCCACCGAACCCTCATCATCACTTTCCGTTGCGCTTAGCATTGGATCCAGTAATTTAGAGTTATAGTGCTAAATAGTATCGTCATCTGTAGGAAAGCTTGATGTACAAATTTCATTGTCAAGCTCAATGTAATGGTTAAGAGAAGCATTGGAAGTTATTTTATTCACTTTAAAATACGCTGCCAGCGACTGGCATTTGTACAAAGAAGCAACATAAGAAGGAAAAAATTAAACCATTTGGTTTGGGACTTCCCCTAACAGCAAAAGGCATTTATATTTAAAACAAAAATTCGACATATAGAATGCACTTTCCCATATTCCTGACGGCACGGAACAAAATTTTTGTTCGAGTTATAGAGAAATTCGAGTTATAGAAGTTCGAGTTATGGAAGTTTGACTGTATGTGTTGTTCAGTTGTTAAAACTTTAACAATTGACATTCGAAAGTATAAATTTATGTAGTTTTTATTTAAAAACCTCAAGTATAGTTTTTTTATTAAATTTTTTTTTTTAACTAGACGTTTCCAAAATTATGAAAAAAGGTTTTTATCATAACCAAAAAAGTAATTTGTCATACCGAGAATCGAAACAAACTAGATTTTTGCCAGAGCAAAAACCGAGACCTAATCGACAAATGTTGCTTTAATTTTTTTAAAAATACTTAAAGAAAACAAAACAAAGATTATCAAATTCTTTATTATTAAGATACCATTATTAGTACTTTAAGGAAATATTAAAAGACTAATTGCCTAAAAATACTGATTTGACATTGTATTGAACACCAATCTTGTTGAAGTATTTGGACTTGTATTTTGACTATAGGTAATAACTTCATTGTTCGTTGTTATATTATTTAGTAGAATTTTAATACACACACTTATATCCTCTTCCATATTAGCTGATCCAGCAGTAACAGCCCATGAGATATTGTTAATAATTGTCTGGTTTATGTGGAAGTATTTTACGAAGATTTTTTAGTTGTTTTTTAATAGTAATAAGTTTTCGATTAGTTTTATAATCTAATTTTAGTGAATCTGTTCTTGCACAAGAAGTATAAGTTCTTTTAAAAACAAAAAAAACTGATTAAATGTATTATAAAATCTGAATTTATTAAGAGATGTTAAGAGATGATTGAGGCCATCTACTATTTGAATGAGATGAGCTGAGATGATATGAATTGGTGTACTAATGATCCAAGCTTGCTTGTTAATGCGAGTATTAATGAAACAAAGTCTTCTGCTGGGAGTCTTTATAAGTCCATGAAGAGGTCCATAAATGAGTGCAATTAGTTGAATATTATACGTCGCTGCTATACAAATATGGTAACTAAAGGCAATAACATAATTTTGAATTTAAATATATTTAAAAGCAAAACATACGTAGCTGAGCTGAAAGGATGATAGAATTCTCTTCAATAAGCCCAAAACACCATTTTGATATTATACTGCTTGTAATATCGAGTGGAGGTTGGGTATTGGTAAGTATTGACTATTTGTTATATTAGATACATTAAAAAGATATTGAAATATTTGGACATAATCTGAACAAATCTGCTTAGGTACAAAACATAATATAATTTATTGCGGCATTACTTATTTATTTGGCTATTAAAACTCTTTACCAGGCGCCTCTGCTGCGTGCGTGCTTTCAGTAGCATCTGGGAACCCATATTATTTCAATTTGTTTAAGGAAATGATAAATAGCTAATTTGTATAAAACCTGTCTTGTGATATGTATGAAAGCTTCAACAACGTCAAAGCTAATTTTTGTTTTCTTTTAATAGTTTTTCATTAATTATTAAAGAACCGTAATTGTTTTAGATTTTAATGCAGACTGTATGAATATTCGATGAACTTTTAAAAGTGTGTTTTTATCAAAAAACCGGCTATTCAAATAATGATTGTTTCAATAACTAACCTCATAATTTAATGGTGGTACTTCAATATTATCCATATTTTTAAATAAGATTTTCTATTTCAGATTAAATTAAATTTCAGATTAAAAAAATATTGTCATAGATGTCAGTGTCATATATCAGAGGATAAAACGTGTAAAGAGATATAACAACAAGAATGAAAGGAGAGAAAAAATTATTTTATTTTGTAAATAGTTAAAAATAAAGTACTTATATAGTAGATGCCAAGACAATATAATTCAGTTTTAATAACTTTTCTTGAAACTTTACTTAAAGTTTCTTTTCGGTTAACGAAAGAAATATATCAGTTTTGATGACTTAAAAAGAAATTAATGGTAATCCCAAATTTTCCACTTATAAATTGTCTAACAATGTTTTAATTAAACTCTTGGCAATCCTGAAATAACTTTCTGTTGTTCAACTGAATATATTTGCTTTTCCTTGTTGAGGTTTGTCAAGTGACATCCAACCATAAATAAAAGAGAAATAAGGAAAAATATTTATATATTCGTGCTTGCACATTTACGAATCCTCGTATGAAACTGTGCCCCTGGAATATCAAAGCAAGTTAAATGGGTTAACAACGTATTCAAATGCAAATACCAAACTGACAGCAATTTAAATGTTTTCGTTCTGTTCTACGGATTTCAATGGCACTCATACTCTGAGGCAGCCTTTACAAAGTTCGGTTTGGCAGGGTTTTATAATACTTGAAAAATATTTTTGAATAAGGATTAAAAGAAAATTGCTGAAAGTGCTTAAAAATAATTGTATGAGCACAGGAGAGCTTGAGCAGTCGTGCATCTACACATCTACACACATGCACATATGCACATGGGCCATCGTCTGTCTGACCGCATAAAAGTGTTTTAATCATTTTTAAAATAAATTTGAGGAAAATATTTTTTGTTCCAGAGAACAGTTTATTTTCACCTTATAACTAGAAAGAGGAATTAGCAATTACCAGTTAACATAAACAAAAGTTTTATTGCTGAAAGGTGAAACTCCTAATTCTGCTCTAACCCATAATGCATGTTCCTTAATTTCTTCTGTAAGGGAAACAAAGTAAATTAGTATTTGCACGAATATATATTATATAAATCCTAAGTCAACAAAAAAAAAATCCGCATATATATATAACGGTTGTTTTTATTTACAAAATTGAGAAGAAAATCTTCCAAATAACCACTTTGGAAGATTTTTTAATAATTGCGCTTCAACAAGCTTAAAACAAGCAAGGAGCATATCTAATTACTAAAATTTGGTGTAACAGATTTTTATAGAACTAAGATCCTATTATTTTATTAAACTCTTCTTTAAAATATAATTTACAATTTATATAGTAAAAATTTTCATTTTACTTATATATTATTTAGTTATATACAATATTATATTTAGTTTTATATTTAGTAATTTATTATATATTATAATTACATATATTATATATACACATTGCCAATAAAGTCTGCGTACACCTTATGAATTTTGAAATGTGATAAAGAAACACAACATAATTAAAGATTTTATATTAAAATTTTTATATACATACATATATGTATTCTTTGAAATCTTAAGTTTGAATAGCAAAAGACCAAAATTGTATTCGTTTGTTCATTCTTCAGATAACGGGATAAAAGTGTCTCTGCATGTAAATATAGGCCCCATAAGATCTGCGTACAGTTTGTTTGTTTAGATAATATCTTTAATTTTTAAGCCGTTTGTTATTATTTTTGCTCATTTGGTATTAATTAGCATTTGAATTGAACATTTAGCGAGCTCAGTGATCAATTAATTTTTAACTAGTTACTATTTTAAAGTATGGAATCAAGGGGAAGAGAAATCAGTGTGCATGAAAGAAAAATAATTATTAAACTATGGAAAGATGGAAAAAGTTTCCAAAAAATTGGTGAAACTATTGAAAGAACGCATTCATCAGTCCAGCGCATAGTGGACAACTTCAAAAACACCGGAATTTTGGAGTCCTGGGCGTCCAAAAGTTTTATCAGTCCGAGAAAAGCGAAAAATAGTCTATATTCTAAAGATCAGCCCTCGTGTTTCTTCTTCGAGGGAAGAAATATGTAAATCAATCATTTAAAAATAGTTTTTGTGCGGAGACTACTACAAAAGTATTACATAAAGCTGGATACCGTGGTAGAGTCGCTAGAAAGAAATCGTACATTTCACTTGCAAACAGGCAAAAGCGCGTTGAATTTGCAAAGAAATGCATAAATGAACTTCCAAAGTTCTGGAATCAAGTGATATTTTCAGACGAAAGCAAGTACTGCATCTTTGCTATAAAAGGTCGTTAAATTATGTGGAGGAAATCAGGAGCAGTGCTAGAGAAACAAAATCTTGTTGGTACAGTCAAACACGACGGTGGTGGAGTTATGGTATGGGGGTGCATGGTGCCTGATGGTGTAGGCCGGTTGAAATTTATAGAATCGACAATGAATAAATGGGGCTATTTAAACATTTTAAAAAGAAATTTGAAACAAAGTGCACATAATTTGGGCTTATTCAAGATATTTTGGTTCCAACAGGACAGACCCAAAACA